AATTTGTATAAATTGTAACCTTCTATGTACTTTACTTTTAGTAACTGGTGTATTCTCAAAGTTAAGTTCCTATTGGACTTTCACTTTTAGTGAGATGATTAAGGAGTTATCTGGTGTATTTTGCCTCCTTTAATAATAATTTTTTATGCAAAAAAAATTACTTTTAACCTTTTTTCTTGTTGTAAATACTTTCTTTTATACAAACAACGAAATTAATTTATAATATTTTAATGAAATATGTACAAGTTCAAAACTGGAAAAAACTGGAGAACCCCTGAGCTATTGCCTGCAAGTTGGACATGAAGCCCCAACTTCAATGATCATCTTATCTTCCTCACTATATTCATATCTCTTACACCTATGGATAACTATTAAGCTCTCTCAATCTACATTTTATCTTAATTTTCCTGTTGCTTCTCTGAAAGATGTCTTGAACTAATGATCTAAGTATCCCCTCTACATACTGAGACTTAGCCTTGAATATTCTTGAGTTCCTCTCTGTCCATATGTAGTAGATGCAGCCTGCTAATGTCATTCTATATACTTCTGCCTTCAGTGTTTTCCCCTTCGTTTCCTTTGTTTCCCATTCCATTTCTTCATTCCATGTCATACTGATCTTTGAATCCCCTGCCATTTCAATAATCTTTCCCAAACCTCTGTAGTCACCTTGCATTCAAAAAACAGATGGTGCATGGTTTTATTTTCTTCCTTACTGAGCCCACATGTTTGATCAATCATCAATCCGCAGCCTGCTACCTTGTCTTTGGTATGTAGCCTTGATTGTAGTGCTAGGTTTAGTATAAAACCTCACCTAGGTACAACATAGTTGTTACAAGTTAGTTTCCTCCATGGTATTTTAGGATAGTCTTCTCTCAACTGATGGTACATCACTTTTATGGAGTATGAATTCATTTTTAACATATCAGTGATGCACAACCCTGCCTTTGACAGATATGTTTTAGCTTTTAGTATCTTGTTTAGAACCCAGGAGGCTTGGTTGACTTGAACTTCCCAAATATTTTTCCTTTCCCATAGTATATATGGACCCATCTTACTCACATCTTATCTTTCTTTGCTCATAGGTTCCACAGTAGTTTAATCACAGCAGCCTTGCTCCAGGTCTCCAAATGCAGTACATTAAATCCACCTGCTGTCTTTGGCCAGCATACTTTTTTCCATGCCAGTAATGCTCTTCTTGATATATCAGTTGTGCCTGTCCATAGTAAACTTCTGCATGTTGCTTCTATCACCTTAACAATTTTCTTTGGTAGCACAAAGATTTGTGACCAGAAGACTTGGATTGAGAAGAGTACATTATTTATCAACTGAAGTCGTCCAATATATGATAGAAATTTTATAGTCCATGAAGTAATCCTCCCTATCATTTTCTCTAACATTGGTTTGCATTGCACTATTGAAATTCGTTTAATGCTCAACGGGACTCCAAGATATCTCATTGGTAATTCCCCTTTGGCAAATCCAGATGCTGCTAGTATCTCCTCTTGTATTTCTCTACTGACACCTCCAAAGTAAATGGAACTTTTATCTTTATTTGGTATCAGACCAGAACACCTTGAGAATTCATTGAAACAATCCATGAGCAGTCGTATTGATCCCATATCTCCTCTACTGAAAAGGAGCAAATCACCAGCAAAACTCAATTGTATAATTTGCATCTTTGCACATTTTGGGTGGAAATTAAAATCTGGATTTCTCTATAAAGTTTTAAGTTTCCTGGTTAGGTACTCCAATCACAAACAAGAAGGGGGACATTGGGTCCCCCTGTCTTAGACCATTCTTGGCTGGAAATGGTGCACAAGGTTTTCCATTTATAAAGATCGAAGTACGACACAGTTTTAACACATGTCATTATCTACTCTATGAACAGTCTTGGAAAGTTCAGAGCACTGAGTCCTTGTTCTAGGAAAGGCCATTTTAATGAGTCGTATGCCTTCTGCATGTCTACTTTCACCATACACCTGGGGGAAACTCCTTTCCTGCTATATACCTTAACTAGCTCATGCTAATTATAATGTTATCAGAGATCACTCTACCCGGGACAAATGCTGCTTGATTCTGATCAACCAGGTAAATCATAACTCCTTGTAGCCTCTTGGTTAAGATCTTTGATATCATTTTATACACTATAGTGCAACAAGAAATGGGTTTGAATTGTTTGACAGTAGAAGGGTTCTTGACCTTTGGTATTAGAGTGACTGTGGTGAAATTAATAGGTAGATACATTCTCCTGGTACCAAAGAATTGTATCACTGCCGCTGTTATCTGCGTTCTTATGATGTTCCAGGCTTTCTTGAAAAATACAACATTAAATCCGTCACATCCCAGAGCCTTGTTGTCATCTATATCATTGAGTGCATTCCTTACCTCCAATTCGGATACCGGTTCAATCAACTTTAATTGCATTTCCATGGTCAAGCACTGGCCATCTTTCATGACTCCTGGATTGATTGCAGGTAGTGCAATAGCAACTTCTCCTAGGAGTTGTTTGTAGTACCCAAGAATTTGCTCCTGTATATCATTTTCCCCTTCTATCAGATTACCTCGATCATCCACCAGAGTTCTAATCTTATTTTGTGCCATTCTGCTTTTCATGATTGCAAAAAGGTAGAATGTATTGTCGTCCCCTAGTTGCAGCCACTAATTTCTGGATTTTTGCTTTTCAACACTTTCTTCAATTAGTACCCATTTCTCTAGCTTCTCTCTGATCATTTTCTCTGCCTGTTTGAGTTCATTGAAGTTTATTTGCATCCTTAGATCCTCTTGCACTTCCATTAATTGTGGTTTGCAACTCTTTATCTTGTCCTCTATTCCTGAGTATTGCGTTGTGTTGATTTTTTGATCTCCTGCCTGACCTTTTTCAGTTTGCCCCATATATTCTCCATGTGATGATACTTTTTCATCCTTTCTCCACACTTTGTTGAAATTTTGCATGTTCCGCAATGAAGTTAAAGAACCTGAATGTTCTATAACTTTTGCTTTGTTGCTCTGTTAGCTGGGTTGCCGATGGAGCATGGTCCGAGAAATATGGACCCATGATTACTATATCCAGTAGTGGGTAAGCAAGTATCCATTCTGCATTCCCCATCCCTCTATCTATCCTGCTACGTACTGTATTGTTTGACCATGTGAATTGTGCCCCAACACTTATTAGTTCAGCCATATTGTAGTCTTGGATAATGTCTTTAAAGTCAACAGTCTCATTCTCATGTACTGGAGTCCCATTGATTCTATCTTCTTATGTCAACACAGCATTAAAATCTCCCATTGCAACCCATGGTCCATGTTGCACATTATGTAGTTGTCTTAATTCATGCCATAGACTTTTCCTATCACCTACTGTATGTAAATCATATATAGCTGTAAAGCTAAATTTCATGTTTGTGTCCCATACACATACCTGTCCATGTATTAGTTGTGTATGTGTATGGTCTACTATAAACTTAACTTTGTTTGTATCCCATAGAATCCAAATCCTTCCTTTTGTGCCTGTGCCATAATCCAAATCCAAACTTAACTTTTAACTATATTATTTTACTTGAAAGATATTAAAGATTATATTCGAATTCATACAGGTATCTTAGATGTTGTAACTATCATAGCTAAACTGTTCATTCATTATGGAAAAGAAAAAAAGATTTTACTTTTACCTCTTAAAAATGAAAATCTATAGAAGAGAACTGTAGACAATAAATTTGGTTCGAGAAAATAAAATCAAGACCAAGAAATATTGCAACAATCGTAGTATTTGATTTCGAATATTTGAGCGTTACAATCTCTATGAATCCTCTGATTCTTCTTTTCAATAGTAAATAAATTCAAGGGCCTTGGAGCTTGATCTTGAATCTATATTTGTTTCCACGAACGATGATCTTGTTCTTGAGCTTGAGCTTGATTGCTTGAACTTGACCTTGATTTGTTCTTCGTTCTTGAACTTGAACTTGATTTCTTCTTCGTTCTTGAACTTGAACTTGATTTCTTGAACTTGAAGCTTGAAACATATGGAGGAATTTGCAGCGTTTGATCCACGAGCTCTTTCTTGCTTCTTGTTATAACTTCTGGTGCCTTTTCTGAGTTATGAAGACCCCTATTTATAGTTGTGGGAGGGAAGAGTTATGATAAGAACAAACTCTTTCCGACCAATCAAATTGAAGTGTGACAAGGCCGCATTTGATTGGCCAGAACATGTCACTTGCACAAGTGGCAATTTCATTGGCCTTTTAGTGTGACCGGGCATGCCTTGTCATTTTGACACGTGGCATGGTCCCATTGGCTCTTCCGTTTGACTTGGCGTGCCACGTCATTTGACATGTGACACCAAACTGGGCCTCTAGGAAGATGACATCTTGGGCCTAATGAATTGAGCTCATTACTTTAGCCCAATTAAATGGGCTAGCCCAATGGATNATTAAATGGGCTAGCCCAATAGATTAAGACTTATTTAATCCATATATATTGGACTTATATAATTAATTCAATTATATTAGCCCATATATTTATTTGGACTAATATATCTTGAATTTAAAATATAGTCCAAATTATTTCATGGATTTAATTTTAATAAAATTTACATGCCTACAAGAACTCCTAACACAAGTGGTTCCTAATAGTATTTAATGTTTATGGGTTCCTACAATAATTTTGAATAAATTTTCAATAGTAACTGAGTTCACATTTAAATATTTATAAATATTTAATGGATTTCGACATTTAAATATTTATAAATATTTAATGAATTTCTCGAACACATTTATACTGTTTGGACAAAAGTTATTGAATTCACGTGAACCCATAGGCCGGGTGAATCCACCCTGACTCCTAAGCCATGCCCAATAAAAGTGGAAGTTACACATCTGATAAGTGATAAGAACAATACACATTGATCTTAGCCATAAGACCAAGAAAAATATAAAGCTTATAACACAAATAAATAAAGTTTTCACTATATATCATTTAAAATTAATATTTTTTTTTTGTCAAACCAACTATGCCCACAAAATAGCAAGGCAAAATTAGGATGACAAGAAAGCTAAGCACCAACTGAGCAGCCAACGTTCCTGACGGTTATTTCCGCACTTTGGTTTCTCCTCTCATTTCTCGTTTTCTCCGCACTTTGCACTTAAACCATTGATTATATAATTCAACACATTTCATCTGTTTATTAGACACAGCAACCCCATTTTTTTGATTTTCTTGTAATTCATTCATCTGTGTCTCCTAAAACATGGCGACGGCCTTTTCTGCAACAAAAGTTTTGCAACCTTTGCCCTTCAATTCTACTAGATCTGCTGAAAAGCCCCTTTTGATCCAAAACTCATCTTTTCTTGGATCATCATCCTCTCATAAGCTTTCTCTCAAGAAGCCTTTTTTGCCTCCTAATTCCCAGCGTCGATCCAATGCAGCAGTTGTTGCCGTTTCTGATGTTGTTAAGGAAAAGAAGTCTAAGTCCAAATCCTCTCTCTCCAATCTGGTACTTTGCATTTTCTTGATTGTTTTGTATTGATTTTGGCTTTACAAGCTCAGTTTTAATTTGGGTCATGCAAAAGATTCGTGCTTTTTTGGGATTTTACTCAGTTATTTGTGTCTTTTCATACAGTTGATTGGGCTAAAGGGACCTGCATTTTCTTAATTTTAATCCCAATTTTTTTGATAATTTTGGCATTTGCAAGCTCAGTTTTCATTTGGGTCATGCTCAATTTGTTTACTTTATTAACTCCATCTTATAAGTGGTGTCTTTATGGGCTTATATGGCGATTAGTTCTTGTTCCTTTGAATTTCTCATATAACATTCCTGTTGCTTGCTAAAGATTCCTGCTTTTTGAGATTTTAAAGTGTTTTAAGTAATTTTTTTGTGTGTTAATTTTGTGCTTATCCTCCATTGGATTTTCGTATGGCATTGTAGTTGTTTGCAAGATTTTGTCTTTTTGTGATTTTACTCAGTTATTTGTATGTGTTGTTCCATTTAGTTGATTGAGCTAAAAGGGTCCTGCATTTTCTTAATTTTTATCCCAATCTTTGATAATTATGGCATTTGCTAGCTCAGTTTCCATTTGAGTCATGCAACTTTTGACCTAGTTGTAACTCGTTATTCTAAGTGTTTTTATTATGGCGATTTAGGTCCTATTCTTTCTAGGAGTGGTTTAGCCTTTCAGAGATATATACATTTAGAAAATACAGAGAACTCTAATTCTTTTTATTTGTATTTCATAATATTGGCACGAGACGAGTTAAAGCGGAGTAACATGGTTAGTAAGGAATTAAGGATTTATATAGCCGACCCCAACTTGTTTGGTATTGACCGATTGAGGAGTAATAGTAGTTGATCTAGTGCTTAATATTCTCTGAATTTCTCATGTAGCATTGTAGTTGTTTGAAAAGATTCGGGCTATTTGTGGTTCTTACCCAATTATTTTGTGTCTGCTGTTGCATTTTAGTTGATTACTAAAGAGGAAGGGTTGGTACTGTACGAGGACATGGTGCTGGGAAGAGCTTTTGAGGACATGTGCGCCCAAATGTATTACAGGGGCAAAATGTTTGGTTTCGTGCATTTGTACAACGGCCAAGAAGCTGTCTCAACTGGTTTCATTAAGCTCTTGAAGAAGGAAGACTCTGTAGTTAGCACTTACCGTGACCATGTCCATGCATTGAGTAAAGGTGTCCCAGCTCGCCAAGTGATGAGTGAGCTATTTGGAAAGACCACGGGCTGTTGTAGAGGCCAGGGTGGATCCATGCACATGTTCTCCAAAGAGCACAATGTTCTTGGTGGTTTCGCTTTTATCGGTGAGGGAATCCCGGTGGCTACAGGTGCTGCATTCACTAGCAAGTACAGAAGGGAGGTCTTGAAGGAGGCTGATTGTGATCATGTCACTCTAGCCTTCTTTGGTGATGGAACTTGCAACAATGGCCAATTCTACGAGTGCTTGAACATGGCCGCATTGTGGAAATTGCCCATTATCTTTGTTGTTGAGAACAATCTGTGGGCAATTGGGATGTCCCACTTGAGGTCTACTTCTGATCCTGAAATTTGGAAGAAAGGTCCTGCTTTTGGGATGCCCGGGGTTCATGTTGATGGCATGGATGTGTTAAAGGTGAGGGAGGTAGCAAAGGAGGCTATTGGAAGAGCTAGGAGAGGTGAAGGTCCCACTTTGGTCGAATGCGAGACTTACCGATTCAGAGGTCACTCTTTGGCTGATCCAGATGAGCTTCGTGACCCTGGTGAGTGTTCCATTTCCCTTCTGTTCATTTGCTCAAGTATATTAAATTCTCCAGTTTACTTGTATTATTATCCCCAATGTACTCATTACTGTTTCTTTATTACTGCTGCTTTGGCATCTGTGGTACCTGACAATAATCATAGCCTATGTTTTCTGGGTTTTGAAGTTTCAAGCTTTAGTACTTAACAGAGAGCTATTTCTATAAAATTAACAATAGAAAGCTTGTCTGAAAACTCGTTGTGTTTTGAGTACCCTATGGGTATTTTGTGTAGTGAATTCTGTCAGCAACTATACAATGTCGTAGCACATTAGCCAAACATCTCTTCTAGTAATTTCTGTACTATGATATGGTGAACAAAAGGATATTAGCATTTTCCTTCTAAAAGAAAAGGATATCAACATTTTGTACAAGAAGTTTCAAATTGGCTGGTTGTGCGGAAATTTTTTAAATAGTGGTTTATGTGTGAGCTGAGAAAATGTAACCTCAGTAAAGTGTGTGGAATGAAGAGCACTTCCTATTTGATTATTTCTAGCTTCCCTTTACACTCAAGCATATAACATGCATCTCAGGGGCACCACTAGATATCTTCTCCGATGGAGAGACAATTACTTCCTTTCTTTGACCTTAATTTGTTAATATTGGCAGCTGAAAAGAATCACTATGCCACAAGAGATCCTATCACTGCCTTGAAGAAGTATATGTTTGAGAACAACCTTGTCAGCGAAGCGGAGTTAAAGGCCATAGATAAGAAGATTGATGAGGTGGTTGAAGAGTCAGTTGAGTTTGCAGATGCAAGCCCTGTTCCAGCTCGTAGCCAGCTGCTAGAGAATGTATTTGCTGATCCCAAGGGCTTCGGAATTGGGCCCGATGGAAGGTACAGATGTGAGGATCCCAAGTTCACTGAAGGCACTGCTCATGTCTAGTTCTCAAAGCTGTGCTGTGGACCTGCACAAGATGGCTTTCGGTAGTTGATGAGAAGCAGGTCTTCATTAATTTAGTAATTATTGATAGCACTTCTCTCCCATGAGAAAGATCTAATGTTTAGTTACTTTATAGTTTCAATTTTGTTCAGGGTGGTCTTCTCTTTGTCTTGGTCATTGTTTCTTAGTTGTACTATTCATGAATGACAAAACCTGAAAGGCCTTGCATTCATCTTTTTGTATGTTAAATGGTTGTGAGCATCATCTAGTCTCTTGGCACTCTGTCTCTTATTAAACTTCTTTTAGCTACTTTGCTGTGTGCGGTCAAACTTAACTCTAGTTGTTGCATCCTTGTAAAGCTGGGGATGAATTGTCTTCGCCCTTCGAGAGAACCAATTTGGAGGGTGCTATTGTTTTGAGCATTCGTTATCTGATGTGTATTGTTGATATACCAGTATTTATGTGGCTTGGTCAGTATCATGGAGGGTATACCACTACCTGTCTGCTCCTAAACTCTCATGGGGTTGCTCAATATTTTATCAAAGTATTCTGGTGAAAGACTAGGTGTGTGAAGCTCAAGTAGATACCAGATCTTTACTTGTCTTAGTTAAGCAGAATAAATACAATATGCTTTCACTTTTGTGGAAAGGTATTCAGTTGGAGACATCAACGAGTAGTGCAGAGTTTCCATCAATGGTTGCAACCTTAGTTGCTCTGACAATTGCGTAGTGCATTTTCTCATCTTCTTGACAAACAACAGGCAGAACTGCTGCCTCATCTACTCAGCCTATTCGCCCAGGAGAAATTAGAGTTTGATTCAAATTTTAGAATTGAAGCACCCAAATTTAAGTAAGAGTATCTCAAATGTGTAAAAGCAATATGCATGTTGAGGTTGATGAGTTTTAAAGCCAATGGAATGAATGTACAGCTAAAGAAAGCCAGTGGATGTAACTCAGAACAGCAGAAGAAACCCAGTATATGGAATTTGAGAGAGTACATGTCTGTCCAGAAAGAGGAGAAAGAATCATTTCCACGGAACTTCAAAACACTAACAAACATTTTTGTCATACCATAAAATACAACATAATCAAAGACCTCTATGCAATCTTCCTGGATCTCTGTTGCTCCTGTCTATTGTTTACAGAATTTGGCTGAAGGTCAGCAGCTTTTTCGTCAAAGTTTTAGAACGTCACACTCACACTGCTAGTCAGAATTTTGCAAGAATGTTCATGTCCGTTGGAACACTTGCATACCTTTTAAATCGATCATAAAAGCGAGGCTGCAATGTGTTGTCTTTGTTACAACATAATTAAAAGAAAACTCATAAGCACATAGACAACAGAACCTTAAATCAAAGATCTTGTTTCCATGGATGCACAACCTAGTATGGAGCCCGATGCAGGCTTACACATTGGTCTGGTCTCCCTCCACCTTAAAGGTAAACTCAGTGGGTTGCATACTCTTACTGTGCTCAACTTCACAATGTTAAACTTCCCGGTTCCAGTTTCTTCCCATCGCAGCACTCTTCCTCCCAAAACATAAATTTCATTTCTCAGTGCAGCAAATCCATAATCAAAGACCTCTAGGGGCCGTGGATGGTCAGGTAGAATCACAGGAGGTACCAAACCCCTATGATGCCACTCACCGTCTTCCACTTCCCTAGTTTTGACAGAGCTCCCGCCCCAATCGACAACTGTGCATATATGACCACCATCAAGCACCTGAATTCCCAAATGCATAGCCCTCGAAAATGGCCAAATATCATCTACACTCAGCCATGTTTCATCGGATGGATCAAAAACTACAGATGTCTCCTGCTCTAGTAGCCCAACAAGGTCCGTCAGAACATAAAATTTACCCTCGAACGATAGCCCTAAGCAATCCATCTGGGGACTTGGCAAGGGTGGTAGGTCTTCCCACCTGCAAAATCTAAAAAGTTAAGGAAAGAGTACTGTATTAAACATAATTTAACTGCTATCTTAGGATTTTGTCAAATGAGATATTAGCCCATTCTATTGCTTCCCAAAAAAAGAAGGATTAAAAGTTAGAAACAGAAAGGAACATTTTCTATGATAAATTAACAGGACCACATAAGTTTCTAAAAACTATGACTCCTACGGCAAATGTAGTCAAAGCTTAAAAAATTGATATATATTACCTTGTTCTAGACTACTTATAAAAGTTCCACTGATCTAGCATTTTGGTGCTTTTAGTGTCCCTGTTCACATATCACCCTTATACTTCCATTAATATTTTCTCCTTTTAAAAAAAAATTGGGACGTGTTTTTTATTTCAAAAAAGTGTTCTCTGTCGTATATGCCTCTTGAAAGTTTTTTTCTAATAAAGTATATGCTTCTTGAAAGCTTAATTTGGACATAATGATGCTGGAAAGGAAATAAAGAAAAAAATTCTACCATATAAAAACTAAGACCACAAAAAGCGGCAAAACTAAATTTCCGTAAAAGAAAAAGGAAAGTTACATGGATACTCCAATAGAAAATAATTTGGCAAAGGAAACAAAATAAAACAATGTAGATTCATTTTGACTTTAAATTTATATTCTAAAAGCTGGTAAATTATCAGCAAGTACCCACATGTGGTGCTAAATGGGAAATTAGTTCCACTGCATCTTTGCGAGGGAGGTACTATAAACAATGATTCCCACACTATGGACGGGTGTGAGTGAAAACTTAGTCGACCACATAAGCACCCCCAATGTGGTATTAAGATACAAAAAGGCTCTTGCATCGTAACGGTGATGATGGTAAAGAAGCTAGTCCAAGAGGCTTGAATTCAGATAGGTGGTTGGAACATAGGCAAGAGACTATGTGGACAGGGAAAATGACTAGAGACATCGACAACATAGGCATGATAGAGATAAAAATAGGAACTAAAATCAACGTGAAACCAAGACATAAGGATATGGTTGTTCCATCAAATACCTTCCTTTATTAGAAAGCAACTTCGAAGTTCGAAGTATATCTTATAATGTTTTCACTAGACTAATCACTAATAGGCTTGTAACCCTTAGTGTTCGCTAATCCCTCTTTCTTTCGCGTGATAGCAATAAAGGATGCACGGAACACAACACGGTCTCCATCAACTCTTCCTTGATCGTACTCTATCATTGTTGGAAGAATGCCAAGGTGAAACCATCAAGTCAGGGGTGTTCACTTCCTCTTCTACGATGGCCCTCTCCAACCAATCCCTCCTACCTTCACCTATTTGGTTAAAGTCTAACCCTTTAACTTAAGTCTTCAACTCACTTCCATTCAATAAAGGATGCACGGAACACAACACGGTCTCCGTCAACTCTTCCTTGATCGTACTCTATCATTGTTGGAAGAATGCCAAGGTGAAACCATCAAGTCGGGAGTGTTCACTTTCTCTTCTCCGATGGCCCTCTCCAACCAATCCCTCCTACCTTCACCTATTTGGTTAAATTCTAACCCTTTAACTTAAGTCTTCAACTCACTCCCATTCAAAACAAATTTTCATAGAACCCATAATTGCCTCCTTCATCTCTTCCTTACTCTCATCCAATAACCAATGTTGTCAAAGGCGCGCTTGAAGCGCGCAAGCCCTGAAGCGAGGCTCAAAACATGTTGAGCGCTTCACCTCGCTTTGTGGACGCTTCAGTGTTGCATAAAGGTTCTAAGGCATGCTTTTCCTTGCCAATGAGTGTAATCCTGAAAAAGGCGACACTAAATAATTGATATTTCACTTCATCGTCATCTTTTTTCAATTTCTTTGTCCATATATTTATTTTTCATGCTTATAATTATTGTTCTTAGACTACATATACATACTTTTACTTTTTCTCCAGTTGCGCCTTTTTCCATTAAAGCCCACCCTTTATTTGCGCGTAGCGCTTAAAGCCCCAACGAACCTTAGAGCTTTTTTGCGCTTTTCGCCTTTGATAACACTGCCAATAACTATGTATTATTTCCTATTTCATGACATATGTACACATCGCTTAAACCCAACAAGCTGAATGTTCCCAAAATCTCCTTTTCTTCCTCTTTTCCTACAATTGCTATAGATATACTGCATAAAATACCTGATATTTAAGGTTGCCACTTCAATACCTTCTTCCGCATAGCAGTAAGAGAACTTGTGGTCGTACATGGGTTTTTTAGTTAGTATCTTGTGACCGAATATATATATATATATATACTCCCTCCGTTCCAATTTATGTGAACCTGTTTGACTGGGCACGGAGTTTAAGAAAAAATGAAGACTTTTGGAATTTGTGGTCATAAACAAGTTAAAGAGGGGCCCAGAAGTATTTGTGTGGTTATAAAAGCTTCTCATTAAGGGTAGAATTGTAAGTTTAAGCTAAATTGTTACCAAATTTAGAAAGAGGTCATTCTTTTTGGAACGGACCAAAAAGGAAATATGTTCACTTAAACTGGAACGGAGGGAGTAAATTTTAAAAAAGACATCAATTTGCATGAATACTTCCACTGGTTAGCTTTTTTTCTCTGAGACTATAAATCGTCAGCCTCTAGCTGAAAAGCTTCTAGTTCAAATTAAGGTGAAATGTGCAGAGAATTGTCAAAACCAGAAAACAAGTGACCTGTAAAGGATAAAAAAGTACTAACTTCAACAGAGGAGTGAGCGGTACTTGACCAAAGTGAAAATGAAAAAAATGGCAAAACGGAAGCTGAAACAAAAAACTAAGTTAGCAAAAAATGCAGAAAGAAGTGAAGAAGTTACATACAGTCTGGTTTACAAATCATTTTCTGCATACTTTCAGTTTCTTCCTCTATATTAGTTATACCTAGCCCCTAAAACAATTTGACAATCTCGACAATAATTGGGTAACTTGTGGACCAAATAGTAGCATGATAAACTATTTAAATATTGTCAATTTCATGGATACTTTGCAACTTCAATGGTCCATTTTTTACCCTTATCTAAGCTTAGTTCAGTATTCAGAAAACCATATTTCCTTATACACTAAAAATGTGTAAGGGAACGCTTGATCTTGTCAATTAAATATTGAAGAAAAAGCAAATCACATATACCATAAGTTTCTAATACATACTTGTCAGTCAGAGGATTATAAACTTCAACAAGAGCAATCCCTCCTCTTGATGATGTGTCGCGCCCTCCAGCTACATAAACCTTACCAGAGACAACACTGCAGGCGAAGTGAGAACGTGGTGTTTTCATACTTGCAACTCTTCTCCACTCTTTTCTGAAAGGATCAAATTGGAAAACTTCATTTGTTGTCAGGGCTTTTTGACGCAAAAACACTTGATCATTTGCTTCATATGCGCCGCCAATCAGAAGAAACTTATTCG